AACAACCACCACATTGAACAAATTGCCAACAACGATTTTCATATACAACAACAGTAGCATTGGAAATATTAATATTGAAATAACAGGCGGCCAAGTATTATTTTCAAATGACGTCAACTAAATTGGCAACGGCTTGAATTTTACTGTTTTTTGTTTCTATAAGAGAGGCAGCATTTTATTATAAAGCTAGAACAGAATGCGACAGAGAGCGCGAAGAACGAGGAATAAAAATATTGATTAACTTAAATACAAAATTTTAAGTCAATACAAAGTTGCCAATTAATCGCTTTTAAAAAGAAACCTTACTTTTTCTTTGCATTTCAAGCAATTTTATGGATATGTGCTTAAGCGTGGAGCTAAGAATTTAGAAAGATAGCGTTATATTAATTGATATTAGCGGTGGGCTAAAGCGACTCGAAAGTGTAAAGTAAAAGTTATAATTTTTTTGAAAGGTTGCCACATATAAAAATAAAATGCACATGGAATTCTCATATAGTGTTGCCACTAAATTTATTAAAGATTTGTTTGTTATTAATATTATATATATTTTTTTTAATTAAAAAATATTTTAAAAAACATTTTCGAAAATTAAAAAAATATATTGTAAATTATAAAATATTACATTTATTAAATTTTTATAAAATTAAACTAAAAATATTTTCGAAAAAATATAAAGCGAGTGGAGGTCAAGAAAATATTATTAAAATCTAGAAAATATTAATTTATGAAAATAAAAAAAATTTGAAAAACATTTAAAAAATATTGATTAAAAAAATATATTCGAAAAGAAAAGTATAAAGTGAGACAAGTTAAAGAAAATATTATAAAAATATAAAAAATATTTATTTTGGAAAATAAAAATATTTTGAAAAACATTTTTGAAATAATATTTAAAAAAACATATTCGACAAAAATATTATAAAGCGAGGGGAATTAAAGAAAGTACAATTTAATTTCTATATTTTTTTATTCGTTTTTGGAAATAAAAAATATTTAAGAAAAATTTTTAAAAAGGAGGAAATTAAATAACATATAATTATAAATCAATTCAATATTCTTAAGCAAAGAATATATATTGCATATTCTTTACATTTTATCTATTTCAAATTATTTGAAATACAAAAAATTCTTAAGTAGAAAACCAATAGTTCCAAATTCATAAGTGCCTATATACATATATATTCTTACAAATGTTAGTTATATTATATATATGTAGATATTTATTTTTGCGCTTGAACACCTGACGCTTACAAACAAAAGCAACAACAATAACAAAAACACTCTGTCAAGGTCAACGTTGACAACCTTTAATATTTTCAATTTCATTGCTATTGTCACCAGCAAATCGAACTGGCAGCGATCGGCAAACGCTACTCGCGCTGCCTTAACCATAATTATCACCCGCCGTCGGCGACATTGAAAGCGAACGTGCTATCGCGCACACGCACAAATAATGCACATTTTTCAGCGCCCTCCCGTGAGCAGCAGCACAGCCTAACCAAGCGCAAATAGTAAATAAAACATAAAAACTAATAATAATAATATAAAAACAAAAATAATTTATCAAAACCCAAAAAAAATTAATGCAAAAATCGGTTTGCTAGAAAAAAGTTAAAAAAATATTTTAATAGGCAAACACCCGTCGCTTCGCTTTTCACATACACATGCGTGCTTGTGTGTGTGCGCGCATAATTCTACCCATTCGCATGCAATAAGCAATCCATAATTCACGAGTTCTGCTGACCAGTTGGCCATCAGCAATGCCAAAACGCACATGAAGCGCACTCCGAAAAAGGCAAGCGCGACAAAAAGTCGCAAAGAAAAAAGCGAAAAAGGCAAGCGCAAATGAAAATGGCAATAAAAATAAAAATAAAAATATATATGTATGTACATATGCATAATGACAATAAAATATATTTATGCATAAATTGCTGTTAATCGTTTATTCTAAAAACGCACACGCCTCCGCTTTGGCGCAACTTAATTAAGTGTCGTTAAATGCATGGCAACAATAATGCGCTCACATGATAAATGCGAATGACAGTAAAAAGAATAGCGCCAACAACAACAACTGCAACTAGTGCACACAACAGCTGGCACTAAGCATAGTTGAGTTATTGGCGTGTCGCGCATGCGCATAGCGAACGAGCGTCGATGGCAGCGACGCGTCGTCATTGGCAATGTAATAATGGCTACAACAACAATAAACACATACCACGCATACTAGCATCGTCATCGTCATCGCCGGCAAATAGTATGTGTGTATGTATGTATATATGTAAAATCAAGTGTCTCCTCCAACATGTTGCGCACAAACCAGTCGGCGCTGCAGCCAAAACCAGTCTTCAGCATTTGCAAATACACATCGTCACACAAACATACAAGCATACTTGGTACATATATACGTATGTATGTTTATGAGCGCCAACTACGTAATGGACGCATGCGCCAACGTCACTTGTCGTTGCCGCCACCACTAATTGCCGTTGTTGTTGTTGCTGCTGTTACAGCAGCTTGTCAATTTCAAGAACCAGGTCAAGGTTACGTCGCCGGACGAACGACGCTGCTGCTTTTTATCAAACTCACCACGCGCATGCGCGCTGACTGCGCTGCCTCTTTCTCGTTACGCTTGCGTTTGAGCCAAACTCTGATTTCGGCCGTCTGCTATCTGTTGACTGCTTACCTCTGCATGTTGTTGGCCAGCAAGTTGTGGCCTCTGATCGCACACTTTACAGCCTGTTAACGGTTGCAACAAACAGTGTTTTGTTTACTTTGCTGACCGACTACTCACCAACATGCTCCGCCGCTTTTCAGTCGTTCGCTTGCGCTCAGCCAATGGTGACTTTGCGGGCTCCTCTCGTCGGCGTACGGCGCTTTAGCATGTGTCTGCGGCGCGCTCTCAGCTTCAGCTTTCAGTTACAGCATCAGTTTCATTTAGTTTACCGTTGTTGTTGTTGTGTTACACACTACCTTGCAGCCGGTTAGTTGGCGCATTGTTCGCTACGCTTGTGGCATTTATTCTTGTTTTTATGCGCACATATTTTGAAGGGCAATGTTGCACAACCGCTGGCCTTCAAAACGAACAAGTTTTTTGTTTTCATTTGGTTGTTGCAACGGTGACTGTGTGTGTGCTGGAAAATATAGATTTTAAAAAAAAATGCAATATATATTTTATTAAATATATTTATAGTTATATATTTTAATAGTGCGCGAAGTGTTTGTATGTAAATACATGTGTATATGTGTGTTTGGCTTCAAGGATGCGCCTCGCAATTGCACTTTGGCGTGTGAAATAATAAATTGCTTTACTGTCGATTGTGATCTTTCAAAGTGATCTTTAGTTCGCACAATTAAAAGTGATGATCTTGATCGAGAAACACGTTTACTAAAATTTTAATAAAAATCTGTTTTGAGTAATGTGTAAGGTGTTAACAGGAAAAAAGCAATGAATACAATTTGCTAAAAAGTGATTGGAAGTTTTTAATTAATATTGCAAATCATACACACACCTGGTAAAAATATGATAATATTGTTTCAAATACTAGCAGAAAATGTGCAGTGTTGACATCAAAAAATTACAAAAAAAAAATAAAGAAAATTTTTTTTGAAGAAAAAATTAAAAATTCTTCACTTAATTTTGAAATTTGGGTATTATTTATTTGTATTAAAAAATCAAAAATATGGAGACTAAACGAGCAAAGGCGTAAACATCTAATTACAATCAGCAACTCGCTTTTGACTTTATGCCTCAATCGACTCAAGGCTAGGCATACCCACAGGTAATGCTTCAAAATTTCGTCATTCTCATCTCATGAGCTGCTTTCTCTCGAGTTTTTTATAACTAGTTTATTGAAGTAAGATCTCAGTGTAAATAAGTAAATGCTCTGTACTAATCTCTAACAAGGTACAAAGTTCTCTCTTGCATTGAACCAAAAATTTTACTATGTTTTGAAAATCCAAAAATATATATTTCTAATTATGAAATTTTTCATTAAATAAGTTTTTTTTGTTTTTTTGTAAAAAAAAAATTTATAAATATTTTAGTTGAATAATTTTTTTCTTAACAAATTTTTTGTTTAAAAAATTATGTTTCTAAATTTAAAATTCTAAAATTATTTAGGAATGTGTTATATCATTTATGAACCATGAACTTTTTTTTTTAATTTTTGATTATTAAACCCCTTCAATAACACCCAAAATAATAAAGAGAAATCTATGCCTAAATAGTATCATGGCATGCATAATCCTTAAAATTTTTTTTACTCTTCTTTACTATATTCTCGAGTCAAATAATGCCTGTGGAGTTATGCATTAATCTAATTTTTTTTTATAACAAAAAAGTTGGAAAAACTCTGCAAATTCAATATATCAAAATATACTACTATAATGAAATATATGTATGTTAGTAAAGTAAATTTTTAAACAAGCAAAAAATTGATACGCTTAAATTATTTGTTATTATAATTTTAATAAAGCCTAAAATTGTAGGAAAATAATAATGTTATTAACAATCAAATACGCATTTATATAAAGCAGTCAAAATTAAAAAACAAACTCGTCTTTCATACGCCTTCAGCGCCAACTACCGATCATCTGTCATTTGCAGTCCTTCGCCTTACCAAAACCGCTCATAAATTATGGCAACGCCAGCTGTATGTGAGAGCACAATAGCTGCGGTTAAGCGCTTTGAATAATTGATTTTATGATTTATTTTCATGTACTGTTATTTATTACTGTACTGCGCATGTAATTGCCATGATATGTTATGTGATATTTTTTAGAATACTGATACACCTACACCTGTTGTATTTATGCTACAGAGTAGCTTCTCATACATTTTATGGCTATAGTATTGAGGTATTTCATTATAATATTTGGAAACAGAATTCCTTAAAGAAAACTTATTCTTATATTTTATATATTATACTTTGATATTTCAATACAAAAACTGAAATTCTTTATTATTTTTGTTTAATAAAAATTGTTACTTTTTCTTGCAGGCAACTATATGATGCAGACTAAGCTGGTAAGTCAACATTTATTTAATATTCAAATAAGTATCTTATACAAGTATAGGAAGGACCAATGTTTACAGTGGAATGTTTAAATATCTTTATATAGTAATTATAAAATGCCATAAAATTACTTAAGCTAAGCATTTATAGTAAATTTTGAGATTATATATTTACAAAATAGTTTAAAGGCATTTTTTCAAGTCATTATTATAAACAAAATATGAAAACTGCAAAAGACTGTTATTAGAATATTGAAGAAGATTTTACTATTAAGTTAATTAATATTTGATCGTTTAAGTAGTAGTAGAAGGCAATCAAAAATACTAGCAAATTAAAATTTTCGAAATAATTGGAAATCAAGGTCAACAGCTACAAATTGCTATAAATTTGATCGCATTTATTGAATTTAAACCACAACTCTATGGAATATGGCGCAAATGTCGCTATAATTTGTATTTTGAAAATTATTTCGACCACAGCGCCAACTATTTAGCTAGCGTTTTACCACAACTAACTACCAATTCTAAATGTTTATTAAAAATAAAATTGATCAAGCCTGCGGTCAAGCGTGTCATCTATAGAAATTTTTTATTCATTTCAAAGCAAGCAATCAATTTAGGATTTGAGCTTAATATGAATTCTTTTTACCACCAAATTTTTCTTGAGTTCAATGCTTATTTCAGCAGCACCTTGGAATTTTGTTCACACCTAATACAGCGCCGATTAGTTACCTTTTGCGCTAACAACTCAATGCTTCTTGCAATTTTCTATAGACAACTCAACCAATTCGCAAAGCAACACGGCAGGTGAATTAAAAAGAATCATAAGAATTTCCAAGAAGCAAACAAGGCAAGAACAACAGCAATGACAAACGTTTCGCTTTAACCTGCAACAAAGTGCAAATAGTTTAAGGACATGCAACCAAGTTGCAGCACCATGTAAACATATACATACATAATTGAGAGCGCCAAAACGAACGGCAATATTCATGACCATAAAATAAAGAACCGACATTTTAGCAATGAAATTGAAAATCAAGTTACATTAAGCGCACAAAATTAGTCAAAAAAAATGAAAAAATCAAATTGGCAATTGCTAAGCAATGCGCGCAGCAGCAACAGGTTTTGCAATTTTTCAAATTTTCTACTTTTTTGCCTTACATTTTCCACTGCCAAACGCACGCGCCCAAGCACTTATGCGCCGCTGGTGACGTGTTCGCCTGTCATTCAAGCAGATTTCAAAGTCACCAGCGATTCTAGGCGCTCGCCGCAGAAAACAAAAACGCGCGCAACGGCGAAAAAACCCGCTTCTAACCATGAAATGCAACACTCTGCTAATGGCAAGCCGCCGCCGCCATCGTCGTCGCCACCGCCTTGCCACCATAGATGGCCGCATCAAGTGCAACCACATATTCTTACAATGTCATTTAGGCTATGCTATGCTATGCTGTGCAATGCGATGCGATGCCATGCGCTGCTATGCGGTTTTGCAAATCAAAACAACAGCCGTATGCCTGCTGGCGGCTGCGACAGTCAGCCGAGCGTGTCAACCACAGTTGGCCGCCAACAAAGTTGCAGCTGTCACAATGAAAAGTTAGTTTTCGTAACTGAAAAAACGGAAAAATGAAAAAAAAACAGCTAACAACAACAAGCATAACAAATGACGTACAAATTGTTTGTTGCGCCGCAATCTAGACGTTTGCAAGCAGCAACTGTCTGCTCATGCGCTTGTCTGTCACACGCCTTCTCTGCTTCCTTTGTATGCAAATGTATTTGCTGTTATTTCTGCTTTTCATTCATTCGTCATTCTTTGGCTTGGCGTTTCTTGAAAAACAATTATTTTCTGCTTGCCATCAGCGCAAATTTGTGGTTAAAAGCAGTCGCGCACGCGTTTGCCCGCAGCTTCTGCAGTTAAACAATAAATTATTATTCTTATGCATATTTTTTTTTTTGCTTTTGTTATTGGTGCTGTTGGTTATCGCATTCGCTAAGGTGTGACTGCATGCAGCCTTCACTGTGACATTGCTGCACATGCAAGAAGTCGCGGTTGAGTGGGCACTTCTTGTGGTCTTTGTCAAGTACACGCTTTGCGTTGGCAATTTTCAAGGTAGGCGACAGGGCGTATGAGTATTTTTTTTTTGTGGTTAACAGGAAGCATGGAAAAACAGAAAAATCGCCGGTATATGAAAGGAAATTTTGAGGTTTGAAGGATAATGGTAAATATTGAAAATAACAACAAAAAAAATAATAACAATTTCATTATTAAAAAGAAAATGAACCTTTCCATGCAACACGCCTTATATAACATATTTATAGCTTGATCGAATAAAATCAACTTCTTGTATGGAAAACTTTTTTATTTGAGAAGCTAACTTCACGAAATTTTGTACAGATTATTGTCCAAGGCAACGCTAGAATCTGCGAAGATACTGTTCAGATCGGACTACTATATCATATAGCTGCCATACACATTGGTCCATCAAAATCAAGTTCTAGTCAGAAAACTTTTTTTTTGTGAAGGGTATTCTAGCTTCTGCATCTGAAGTTAAGGTTTTTCTTGCAGTTAAAGATAATCTAAACATTAATTATATTTAAAAAAATCGTAAAAATCTAAAAATCAATAATTTATAAAATTATTTAACAAAAAGTTAGAAAATGCAAATATAATTTATGTTGAAATTATAAAAATAAATAAAATAATATAAGAGTTATTAAATAATTTTTCTTATAATCTCCTTAAGCTTAAAATATGTTAATGTATAGAAACTCAAATTTTTATCATAATTCCTTATAAACTCCCATATCGTCATTAGTATTTGTTAAAATGTTTTATAAAAAAATATATATATTTTAATTGTGAACATATTTAACAAAAAAAAAAAATATTATTATAAAAAATTATTTTCTAACATAAGCTTATATGCATTATGCCCACTCTTGCCTTTGTTCCCTTTGTAATAACTCACACTTGTCACCAAGACATGATTCATTTTTTCACATGCTACATCTGAAATAATATATTATATTTTTGTCTATAAGCCACTCTTTAATGATTAATTGCACTTATACAATTTTTTGTAAACTTTCCTTGCACTTGTGTACGCTGAAAATCACTTGCTGCAAGCCTCGCCAACCGCAAATCAGACACAACCAGTTAGAATACACACACACAAACAACAGCGGTGATTTATAGAAGGCTGGGAAATCGCCAAAGCACCTTGGCCTTAAATGCTATCTAAATACTTTTAAATGCAACTGCATTGTATAAAATCATATTTTTTTCTATTAATATTGCACTCTTTAATTTACTATCCTCTTACAAATTTCTGTTTTATTAATTTACATACAAGCATCTGCCGCTCACTCGCTGCTTCTTAACATTGCCACGTGACCTTTGCGCGCTGTGAAGGTGATGGCTGTGTGCATAGTAATAATTGAACGCATTGCCTGCCTTAGGCAAAGCAAATTAATACGAGTTCAAAGCGCACGCATACGCACATGCGCACGCACACACGCACACATATGCGCTGAGAATTATGAATTTATGTATTGTTTATTAGAAATTCAAATCAATAGCTGCATTCTATTCCAGCAGCATTCACTTCACTAGCTTACATACGCAGCTGCAGTTTTACGAGCAGCGCACGGGGCGTATGAGTAACCAACAGCGCCCGGCGACTGTGCGCTGTTTATATCGAGCGATTAGCGCGCCAATGCTCAGCGCCTAAGCAATAATAAATAAATAGCAGAAATCACAAACAATTACGATCAGTGTTAGCGCTAGTCGTACGAAAAAAAAAATAAAAGTGAAAAAAAAAACTTTTTAAATAAAAATATAACATATATAAATAAATGCAAACATGAATGTAGTCAAAAGAATATGCATTTGTAATTAAATGCCACTGGAGGCGCTGCCATCGCTGAAAGCGCACATTCAATGGCGGCATTCATGCTTGTCCTCCTTGGGCGTTTGGCGCTAAATAGCGCACGCACACACACATATATTTATATATATATACAAGCAACCAAAGCGTTTGCACTTTTGCTACTGTGTGATGCGTTCATTGTTGTTGTTCTTGTTGCTCTAATAAATTGCTGCGCACATGACGACGTCGCCGCTGCGACATCTATTTCACGAAAATTAGTTCAAGATCAGCCGCTGCCACCACTGTGAGGCTGTGTGAAATTCTTTGGAGTTTTGCGCCGCTTGCACTCAACTAAATGCATTGCATAGCAAGAATCATTCATTACAACAACTACTGCAGCGCATGTTTGTTGTCAAAACCAACAATCGCCGCAAATCGATGCATGTCAACCTTGTCCCTGAGGCGTTTTTGCATTTCAAAGCGCTACAATATGTGCGCTTACTGTCAGTTTGACATTATGAAGCTACTCATACTCATACATGTATGTATTAGTGTGTGTGTGTGTATGTGTATGTTTTTATAGGCATATCTGCTAATGCATTTCTGTTTGTTCACTTCTATGCAGCTCTGCTTAGTTTCATTCCAAGTGCGTGCGTTGTGATTTTATTTCTCTTTCGGTTATGTGAATCACCTTCGATTTTGGTTGCAGCTGTAGCAGCAGCATACACAGTGTTTATTATTCAGCAGTTTGCTAGCTTAGTGCCGTACACAGTTGCTGGCTGCCAAATGTGGTCGCCGCAGTTGCCATATTTGCGTAATATCTGTGCTTTTTGGAATGCATGCCTCTGTGCTTACAACCCCTTTTACGTCGCTCTCCGAAATTGGAACAAATAGAAATCAGCTTTGTATATAGAAATGTGGTTTTTGTTCGTGTTTTGAGGAGGAGGTTTGTATATATACAACTTACTTTCGAAAAACTTTTAATTAAGAACTATATTTCTGTATTTTATGAGTAAAAAAATTAATTTAATTTAATAATTTTCATTTTTGAGATGTTTTAGAACCAGAAAATTAGTAATTGGTTTTGAGCTAATTATTTTGAAACTACTTGATAAGTAGGCTTGAATAAATGCTTTTGAAACTAGT